ACAGTTAATAGATGTATTGAGCTTTTGATATAAGATCTACGCAGCCCAAAGACCGTTTGGTAGACGTACATTTTTTCATACATCGTTTCGGGTCTTTTCGATTCATTTGGAATTTCCTGAAATCAGCCCAAAATGGACTTCCAGCATCTTTTTGGCGCCTTGTCTTTTGACAGTGAGATCTTCCGTGTGCCAAACGGGAATAGACCGACTTTCGGTCTTCCCAGCTTGTAAGCAGCCAAAAGACCGCGCGGAAAGACRTGACAAATGGGGCCTTAGTAAAAATGGGTATCATTAAATTTTGGTGTATGTCTTCCCTTTCCTCTTTCTTTCCTATTTCCCTTAATTTCTTATTCTTCTTCCCTTACTTCTTACTTTAGAATTGAACATTACATCAAAGCTGTCAAATGCATCAAACCAGCTTAGTTCCTAGCATGGAACAAAGAAAGGTGAAGCACATAGAGACAAAGTTCACAACATTGCTATATGAAGAAAGTAAGCTGCTAAGGCCATGTTTAGGAGTGTTTATGTTAAAAATAAGTATTTATAAGTGCTTAAAAATAAGCACTTATTTGAATAAGTGCTTATTTGTATTTGAATAACCACTTAAATAAACACTTGTGACTATTTTACCCTTCGTTTTCTTTCAAATTTTCAAAATATACCCGCTTTTCTCTCTCTCTCTCTCTCTTTGAGGGCAAGAGAAATAAAATTCAGAAGTCTTCTTCAAAAGACAAAAACAAACAGCTATAGACTGACCTGTTTTCCCCTTCCTATCCTACACCCTCCCGAAGTCCTAATCTCCGCTGGCTTCATTCCGTCTCCCCGTCACTCAGTTCTTGGTGACCTAGGGTTTTTAGAAGCAATGAGGAAGGGAGGATCTCTATGTGAGAGCGTCGTGAACAAGATCTTGCTAACCTACGCCTACGTGGGGATATGGATCTTCCTCAGCTTCACTATCATCGTCTACAACAAGTACATACTCGACAAGAAGCTCTACAACTAGACCTTCCCCATCTCCCTCACCATGATCCACATGGCCTTCTGCTCCTCCCTCGCTTTCCTCCTTGTTCGCGTCTTCAAGCTCGTCGAGCCCATCTCAATGTCCCGCGATCTCTACATCTCCTCCTCCATCCTCTAGCTCCATCAGAGCTCTATTTTCCCTTAGCCTCAGGTCTCTAACTCCGCCTACATTTACTTTTCTATTTCCTTCATTCAAATGCTCAAGGCCCTCATGCCCGTCGCCACCTATTACATTGGTGTCCTCCTCAAGAAGGACAATTTCAAGTCTGAAACCATGGCCAACATGGTTTCCATCTCCGTTTCAGTTGGTGTCGCAGTTGCCGCTTACGGTGAAGCCCGCTTCGACAGATGGGGCGTAATTCTCTAGCTTGGTGGGTCCCACGATTTCTTCTAAGGCATCGTCTTTTATCACCATATCTGGGATGAGGAGCTCGTCGTCTTCATCGTCCTCTACCATTTCTTCCCCGTCATCTTCTCGTCTCTCCTACCTTATCGGTTGTAGGAGCTCGTCTTCCATGGAGGTGGTTAACGGGGTCGTTGACGAGAGGCCACTTCCTGAAGTTGCAGAAGAAGCACAAGACGGTGACAATTAGAACTTCCTCGCCATGGCTGCACTCTTGCTTGTTGTCCAAGTCTTGATGACCGGAGAAGAAGAAGAAGACGATGTCTCTAAATGGAAATAGTTTTGGTAGGAAAAAAAAAAAAAATCCGAGGAGTGCTTATTGTTTAAGCACTTAAAAAAAAAAAAAAAATCCAAGGAGTGCTTACTTTCGTGCTTATTTCCCAAATATCAATAAGTGCTTAATCGTGTGTGGTCCCAATCTAAATAAGCACTTATTTTTAAACACTCCCAAACTAAAAATAAGCACTTATTTTTAAACACTCCCAAACATAACCTAAGAGTAAAAGACCTCAATACCATAAAAATTATAGGTAACAATAAAGAATATTCTTCAGATAGTGAATGTGACAACCATGGTTTTAAAAACGAATCAGAAACAGAATCAGTCAGGGGACCGATTTCTGGTTAAGCGGTTCAACCGTTTGGGTCGAATGGTTTGACTAGTGATGTCATAAATAAATTTAAAATAAAAAAAAATATTTATAAATAATAAAAAATAGAATAAAATTAAATTAAATACAAAAAATAAAACTATCTAAATAAAAAATAATATAGTACAAAATACATAGAAAATATTAAAATAAAATACAGAAAAATTCTAAAAATAAAGAAAAACACAAAAAATTCAAAAAGTACAGAAATTTGCAAAAAATACAAAAAAAAAATTCTAGAATGTTAAAACCTAAAATGCAAAAATCCTTGACCTAAAATCAAGATTCCTAGGGATAGATTCCCCTGGCACCAAAATAAAAGGGGAGAAATAGGAGCATTCACTCTAGAATGTTAGATTGCTATGCAACCAAGATTGATCTCTAAAAGACTTCAATATACATTAATTTTACTTAATTGATCAAAAAAGTTACATTAATTTGTACCTAAGCACCATGCCAAATGCTGCTCCCTAAGCTTCAACCAAGCAAAAACTTCAAAACTTTGCTTTTTCTTCAATTTTTGAGAATTTCTTTAGAACTACTCCTAGGTGTCAAAAACACTCACAATCAATCTCCTCCAAATCTTTAGAACTGCCCGCCACTACAAGTTGGCCACCGCTGCAAACTCGCCTGCCGCAAAGCCTAAAAGTGCTGCAAATTGCAAAAGACACAGGCCGTCGCTGCAAATTCGTCATCACCAATCGCCGTTAATCGCGGTCGTTCAGTGTGTGTCGCCATCAAACGCTGGAGGTGTTGGGCGCCGCAGGTGGTCGGTTGGGTGTGAGGGATGGTCGCCGCCGCTACAAACTCGCCTGTCGCAAAGCCTGGAAGTGCTGTAAATTGCAAAAAGCTCAGGCCGCCGCTGCAAATTCACCGTCGACAATCATCATTAATCAGTGTCAGCCGGTGTATGTCATCGTTGAACGCCGAAGGTGTTGGCTGCCATAGGTGGTCAATTGGGTGTGAGGGCTGAGAGGAGGGAAGAATGAAGGGTTAGAACGAAAATGGGGTTCTAACCCTACACCCGATTAATTGATTTGGGATGGGGATATTAAAGTAATTTTATTTTTTGTTTTTTATTTTATTTTATTTAAAACAGTGAAAATAGAAAAGAGAACCTGCAAACCGCTGCCCGGGTCAAACGGTTTAGCGGTCTGACCTCCTGGGTCAGTGGTTTCCTGAATTTTTCAACGTTTTTTAGAGATTTCCAGTTTTTAATATAATTGGACCCGGGGGCCTAACCGGTTACAGGTTTTTCTGATCCGATCGTCCGGTTTTGAAAACCATGGTGACAACCGTAAGGATAGTACTTCAAATTTGGAGGCACAAGAAGAAGCAAGTACTTGGAGAAGTTATTAAGCATGATGTGTTTCCTAGAGTAACATTTACAAAGACTGATATAGGGAGTTGTACAACCAGCAGCAAAAGAACCTCTTGATGCAACAAGAATTGGTGAAGAACCTCTTGATGTAAGGTTTGGTTGAAACTTCAAGCCAACCCATCATGCTTTAGGAACTAAAATGTAATTTCTATTATGAATCATATATTCTTCTAAGATTGTACTACATTGTTGTGATAAGGATTAAAATAAAAGGTTTGGTCGAAAGCTATATCTTAGCTTAGCTGACGTGTTTGGTCGTCTCATCGGTTGCCTTCGAGTTGCCACGCCATGGTTTCATTGTGACATGGATCATCTGTAAGCCAGTATTGCCGGTTTCAAACTCCCTCTATTGTTCGTCATGGAAATGGACCGTAATCTCTTTGATCATCACAAGTTCTAGCAGATATTCTATACCCATCGCAGGTCCTAGGTAGCTCCTTTGTGCTCATTACAAGTGTATAAGCCTTTCATTGTTCACCGTATGGATTTCCTTTAACATCCTCGTCTTGATCCTACTGATGGTAAACTACAGGTACTAACAATAACAATAAAGGAAAACGAACAAACAACATGCTATTGCAATTATCAGAGAAAAAATATAACAGGGAAAAGAGAAAACAATACGGATTCAGTCTCAAATCTTCAAATAACTGATAGAACTTCTATTTTCAAGAAGCAAAAAAAAAAAAAAAAATCATATAATGATTCTAGCAATAAGAAGAAGCAATAGTGAAGTTGAGTAAGTGCCAGAGGTTTCATAAGAGCTAGCTCAGTAGTAGCCTAACTATGAGCTTAGACCATTCAATCCCTTTCAGGTCTCGGTTGCTTCATGACGTAGTGCAAGGGAATCAACCTAGAAAAAACAAACACGAGAATGAAAATGAAGAAAGAAGAAAAAATGCAATGGGACGACAACAAAGTTTACCTGGTCAAATTTCGACATAAATTCGATCGCCGGAATAGGGGAACTGCAAGTGTCATTTCGTATCTTCTTGTTTTAAATTCATATAGTGTTCAGTGCTTTTAATTAGGCATCTCGAAGAGGTAAAACAAAACTCTGGGTGTAGACTTCATATGAAGGAACGAATTCAGATGGTAGCTTCTGTCAATTTCTACTTAATCGGTAAAAAAGACTAGATCGAATTCAAGAGATGAGCAGTGCCTCCGAAGGTCTTCTTTTGGGAAAAGAGAAAACGATAAGAGAGGGGGAGAGGGAGATAGTGAGAGAGAGAGAGAAAGAGAAATACTGCTGCTACAACTGTAGCAATAGTATTGGAATGAAATTAGAAAGGTAGAGGGCTCCAAAAAAGAAGAGAAAACAATGGGAGGGAAGAGTGGGAAAGAGAGAATGAGAGAAAAGAGATGAAGAATAAGAATGGAAAGAGAAAAAGAGGGAAAAATGAGGTTGTTACTGCCGTTGGTTCTAGTTGCAGCGACGGTGGCAGAACGGGGAAAGGAGAAAGAAGGAGGGGGAAGAATAAGAAGAAGAAGGGGAAGGAGAGAGAGAGAGAAACCGGAGGGGACTGATTCGGGAAGGGACACCGCTCCTTTAATGTCGTTGTCGATTTGACGAAGATGAATAGGAGTTTTTCAAATTAATTAGGGCCAATTCCCCTAAATGAAAACTTTGTTTTGAATTTAATATGGGGCATAGTGGAAGTTTCATAAATTTGGAGAAGTTTAGGGGTATTTCTGTAATTTAGGAAACGTTTGGTCAAATTAGGTACAAAATGTGAAGAGTTGAGATGGGTTTGAGTGTGCACAGTGGTTTTGTGTATATGGGCCAATGAGATTAGTCGAAATGGAATCTTTTTGGATGAACAGGCAGACAAGGGTATTTTAACTTGAAATTTGTCAAGGTGGGGTTTCTAGACATTCTTAGTTGATTAACAATGTCAGATTGGGCCAACTAGGCCCGGATCGGGTAGATCTAGAAGGGTAGTGGTTCGTTTAATATAGGGCTTCGAAATAGAATCTTAGTGCGATGAAAGGGAAAACAAAGGTATTTTGAGCTGAAATTTTATGGGTTGGTATTTTAGAGTATCCGAGAGCTTGTAATAATGTCTGATTGTCTCAGGGGGGTTAAGATTGTAATAATTTGGATCAATGAGAGTATTGAGAATAGAATATTGGTTTGCTGACAATGCAAATGAAGGAATTTTGGGTCAAAACTTTATGGATAGATGTTTTGGTGTGTCCGGAGTATAATGTATTATAATTGATTTAGATGTGTTAGGATCAAGGGGATTTGGGTTGTGGGTTTTTGGGCTATCAAAAGGGCTCTAAATGGAATGTTTACTTAATGGAATGGTAAATAGAGGAATCTTGGGCTGAAATTTCATTGAAAGATATTTTTTGATATCTTGAGTTTAATGGTGGTGTCTAATCTGACGATTGAGGTGTAGACAAGGGTTGATTGGGGTCATTGAATTTGTATCGAGTAAGTTTAACAATGAATTTGAGGGATATCGGGTTAAAATTCAGGTTCTTTGGGTTTTTTGGTGTTTTGAAGGGATCAGAAGGGCTTGATTGGGTGTTTGGGGAAAATTGGAGGTTCAAGCAGCGGACTGAAAAAAAATCGGATGCTGATAGTAGAGTTGAATTTGGTTGTGAATATATGATCTTGCTCACAGGTTCATTATGCAAGTGTTTGGTGAAACCATTGAACATTCCCAAATATCTTGCTTTTTTTGATGGTTGATATATTTTCAGGTTCATTTATATGTTATATATGCATTGGATTTAATCCACTACATAGTGTGATTGTTTTTCTTTTCTTTCCATTAAGGCTGTCAATGGGCTCCGAAAATCCACGACCAATCCAATTATCTCGGATTTGGATAAGGATGACAATGGAGCAGGTTTGGGGAGGGTTTTATAAATTCTAAACCCTACCCGCCTCCCTAAACCTCCCAACCCATACCCACCCCATGTTGATTCCTCTCTTTCAATTCCAAACTCTGTTTGAGCGTCTCAATCTTGTTGTCATCCCAACCCCTACCCCGATTATTTCTCTTCATTGG